AGGGCCAGACGCCCTCCCGGCGGCCGCGACCTCCGCACCGCTGAACCTGGGGCCCGTACCGCGGCCGGGAAGGTGGACGTCTCCCTTGCGGCACGACTCCCCAGAGAGGACATGAGAGCCGAAGCTTGAGCTGAAGTCAGGGCACACGCAGGCAAATCGGTTCCTGGAATTCTCAGAGTGTTTAGCTTGATAACAGAACATGCATTCAAAAATGCACCAGGAGTGGAGAATTTCAAAAAATGAAAACAAAAGCGTTAGAGATTACTATGAACAGCTTTGCATCACATCAGAAATATTCATCTCTGGAACGGCACGATCTCCTGCATTTTGAGAGACCGACGTTTTTTGTCCCCAAGTCTCAGGCACGCTTCAGATGGCACGCCCGTCTCGGCACACAGAGGTGCAGTAAAGAAGCTTTTGGGACAGGACCCCCCCCCACCCCAGCTGTGAACTACCGCCTTTATTGAGCAGTGTAAGTGAGGCATTAAAAAGTTCACTTGTGTTACACTGTCCTTATAACTTACACAGATTGCTTTAGCGAGCACGCACATATTTTTTGAGCTTATCCTGCATATGCTTGTAGTTTACGCAGGGCAACGATTCACTCTTCTACCAGACAGTTCATGTACCGCTTGATAAAAGTCAGTGACTGGTGCCGGTAGGTAGTGCTGGGATATCCACATGGTCTAACTTGGGACATCACATTTTGTCTTCTGGAGGTATGTCTTTCTCTCCCTATAAAACATATGGAAGATAGTCTTCAGAAATCAGGTGTTGAATGGTAATCAGATAAAGTAGCAGCCTGGGGGAGCATCCTGATCAGGGCATAAATAACAAAGTTAAATAACAGACACACAAATGGTATTTGTTCACTCATATAAAAGAAAATCAAATGACTAATTCTGAACAGACAGAATACTTTGGGCTTGTTCTTACGTGCGTTCAGTAAGTGTAACCAACAGCAATAGGAAATGAATTTGCTTGTACCATATTCCATTTAAAGTTGCTGAAGACTGAGGAGTGTGGTATGCAAATACCGATTTTTCCAGGAACTGGCTGAAAATGCTTTAAATTGGAGCAAGCTCATTTTTTGTTCAGATAGCAAGCATTAAGCTGCTGAGTAAGCAGCATCAGCTATGACAGTTCCATGAGGACTGAATAGATGGAGGCTGGACAAAGTAAATTGTTCAGTAAGAGTGCCTAAATTTAGTCAGGGAGAGGAGGAATCCTCACAGGAAGATAATGGAAACTTAATCTTGAATACTTTTTCACAGTATGATATTTCTTTCCTACTTAGACAAGAAAAAAATCTATACGTTACCTGTACCTACTTCAAATTTACCTGTAGGCTTTTTGGACATGCGGTTGCTGCTACTATGAAGTGAGTGTCTGGAATTTTCCTATCAGCCTGCACGTTCTGTACTGTAACTTTTAGAGATCTGCACCATTCTGCAAAAAACAGTTACAGTAAAACCTGTTTGATAAACTTGGACTAACATGGGAACTAGTTACCTAAGCACCAAAGAAATGGGCCCAATTCCACAAATTCATCAACTTACTGTGTTATAAAAATCAGTTTTTAGTTTAGTGTTTTCTTAGGCTAGGCTGGCATGTTCTCAATATTTCAAGAAGACACATTACTAGATACACTTTTTCTTTATATATTTAATAAAGTTATATATCAACTGCCTTTGGATTTGTACTTTTGTTTGAGCACTTATCGTTTTGGCAAAAGTGAAATATTAAATACTAGTACTAGACATGCATTCCTTTCATTCAAGCTTAAGAAAACATTTACAAAGTTGACAGATAACATTTATTAAAACATGTTATACAAAAAAGGGGCAGGGGACTCTTCTATAAGAAGAAAATATTGAACAGTAACATTAAATTAAAACCATGCTGTACAATTAGGACAGCAATATTTATAGACAAAACTATCCAACCTCTGCAATACAGGCATAACATCTCACAAAATATCAAGATATGCAAATTTACTATTATAAATGACTTGTTTAGAATAAAAACTTATAGCTCATTAAGGAAGATTCACTTGACTTGCATAAACAGTTACATTTCTGGAAGAAATATGGAATCCCATGAATAATAAAAAAAGGAGCAGCAATCGACAGACACAGGCTTCAAGCAAAAATCTGAACTTAAAATTTAATCACATTAAAAATATACCATTTTGTTTTCCAGCATCTTCCCCTAGGGCACTGACAGTTTACAGCTTATAGCTAAAGAAGCCTAGCTATCCAATGAAGCATTTAAATGACAAAAATCCCCAACTTTCCTTTGTTGTTTTGAGAAAGGTTCTGTTAAAGCAAAATACTCAATATACTGCTGTAGGCTCTCATAATTCAGAGACAGGTCACCTTTCTGGCACCAACGCAGAAGTGTTGAGATTACAAGACTTGACATGCCTCCATTCTTTTCAGGCTCAATAATATAGGGACATCAAGTAGTCTTTTTATAATGAGAAACCCAATACATCAGCCTTTGATCATCTGCCTTGCTTTTGGTACAGGACAAAGTTTCTCAACCCGAGAAACACCTCAGATAAAAAAAGCTAAGACCAAAAATTGCACTGACAGTACTTTCTAGAGTCTACCTGCTCGCCCATAAAACAAACAAGGTAATGTTTAAAAACCAAACCAACAACAAAAAAAACCCAACAGTGGTGTATGAAATAGGAACCTCCTCCCTCAAAAGGGTCAGATATAGACCTAAGCAGAGATCTCAACCCTGCTAATAGTTGAATTTTTCAGAATGGCAGTTACACAGATTCTATGGTAATTAACATCTTAGTTACAAAATGGAATGAAAAGGAACTTAGCTGTAGCATCATTGTGTTCTTACCACTGATAGGACGAGTGGCTTCACAGTAGCAGGAAATTCTGAAAGCCTCCTATGTGTACAACGATTCTGGTTTTCAGAAGACATTCATTTTACTACAGCCAACAGCGAGCAATATAAAAATGCACAACTGTTTCTAAGCCATATCATTAAAGGTGATGAAGCTGAAGGGAAGATTAATGAAATTTATCATATACATATGCATTCATATTATATATATATATATGTTGATCGCTTCCCTCCCCACAAACAAGAAATTATTTCCTGTATCTTGAACAAGACCACTCCATTAGCAAAGATTAAGAGCTTGACAGAAGCTGCATCTGCATATCTTGGTTTACTATGTACAACTGTATCGGCCGTAAATCGCAGGGTTTCAGTGGCAGGGGGCTATGAGAGTGACATGTGGCAAGAGGTTGTGAACTGCCCTGTGCTAACCAAAACAGGTTCTAGCTTGCACTGAAACTAATGCAAACAATCCATTGCATGCCAAAACTTCAACCAGAGGTGCGTGCAGTGCCTCTGCTTAAACATACTTAAGGAGTGGCGGCTGCTAGCAAGAGGTGCAGGGAGACACAGAAGGAGAAGGGGAAGAAACACATGCGGAGAAACTGAAGAGCTGCTCTTGGGAAAACACATGAAGACGACACTGAGGCCTTGTATAGAGACACACTCACAGAAGGCCATGCCTGAGGAGATTCACTTCTGAGGGGACTTTGGCCTATAGGTAAGCCATGCCAGAGCAGGTACACCTCTGAAGTAACTGAGGCCCATAGGAGACCCAAGCTGGAACAGGCACATCCCTGAAGGGACTATGGCCCAGTGTCACCATGAACAGTGACTGTGACCAGCCCAGAGTGGCACAGGACACCCACTAAGAAATGAAGAGCATCAGACAAGCCAGTATGCATATGAGCCCAGCCTCCCATGTGATCTGTCACCTCACTAAAAGAACTGGCACGGACTGAGAGCAACTCTCAGTGAAAACAAGGGAAATAAGACTACAAAGGCAGGGAGGAGAAGTGTTAGACTTAAGTTGAGCCTGGGGAAGGGGGAAGAAAGATGTCTCCTTAAGTAATTTTTTGTTGTCTTCCCCCCCCCCCCCAATACCTGAATCAGTGATTAGAAGTTTGTCAAAGAGCAATAAATTAAATTCAGGAAAACCACCAAAAATCAACTGTTTTGCCTGCGATAAACAAAAGTAAGGATTTTAGACATGTATCTCAAGCTTCCCTTAAATCATCAGTCCTCTCAACTAGATCTCATAACAATCATATCAGTATTTTTCTGCAATCAATTGGTTTCATGGGAATTAACATCAGAAAGCCAAGGGCTACAAAAATCAGTGGAGCAACATTTGTTGGACTTTCAAGACAATGTCATAATATGGGGTAAAACTGTAATAGGCAAATATTAAAAAGTTACTATTCACGCTAAGTCATTAAAAAAGGACATGGTTCTATAATATGACCTACTGGACCTGTTATAAAACCTTTAAAGTGTCTCTCGCAGTACGTTTTATTTTAAAGCTTTATTTCAAAGTAATCTAACTGCAAATAGGAGTAATGTTTAACTTTGAAATGTCCCATATAACAGTCATTCCAAGCTGGTAAAAGAAACAGTTTTGCTGGCAGCTCTGTAGGATGGTCTGGGTTTAACAGAAGTAATTTTTTGCTTGACCATGGTTTTCAGCCTGGTGTTTCTGACCAGCCTTTTTTATGGTTAAATGGGAAGAGGCACCCTTAACCTTTTTATGCAACACTGAAGTGACAATTTGAAAGGGGTTGAGAACTAATGTAATATACAAGATCATTCTTGAAATGAGTATGAGAATACCTTCCCTCAAATGTGATGATGGTACTTGCAGAAATGACACCCTGTATGTAGTAAGGCCTTGGAGAATGGAAAAATAGGGCCACTGAGTGCAAGAACCCTTTCCTCTACACTCATGTAAACAGGCAAGCATTACAATTTCTTTTTTTTAATATTAAAAAAGACAGTGTTAGCAGTGTGGAAACAAACCATAAAGGGAATATAATTTCTAAGTTTAAAAAACATACTTATAAAGTTTTATGGTTTGTTTTTTTTTTAAATACAAAGTGCTTCTATACATTAAGTAGGTTACAGTGTTAGTGAGCAAATCCCTGTTTAGTTACCTTGATTACAAGGGTTATATATGGCCACCATGGTATATTGTAGAGTTCAATTAAGTGCTAAGAATAGGAACTCTGTGGTGCTGACCATTCATGCCCATTGCCAGCAATGGGTTCATCATATTTGGGAAAATCTGTTTTAACAAAATTCCATATGAAAAATATCTGAAGCATTAGAAGATTAAGAATTAAGAGCCTCTTAAAAAAATTAAAGTTTGTAAGTAGAATGCCAGAAAAGAAGTTACAATAATTACAGCCCACTGAGTAGTAAACCCCCAGCTTGTACCAGACATTCATGTTCACGATACAGTTCGGTTGTATCTTAAGACAATTTGTAACTGGGAGTTCAAAAAAGCATCTAAATAGTTATTACCTTTATGTGTTTTTGCTTCACCATACAGGGTCATCTGTTTAAATACATTATCCTGCATATTGCAGTACCTAATATATAAATTGGGGCCAGACAGGCTTAGGCCTTCGATGCTGGTTAATGTTTTTCCCCATGTTACCAGCACTGTACTTGGACATCACCTCTTTCTATTATAGTCTATATATGCTCTAAAGGCTCTTTCCTTTTTATAACATGTTTCAGTAAACTACAAAGAAGGGTTAATTGCTTTTGCATAGGACTGCATTAAGCTTTCAACCCCCAAATCCTGTTGCCACCTTTACAATTGATGCATTCACTCTACCTGCAGAGCTGGCAGCATCTCTCAGAACTACAAACACTCCTCCATCTATCTCCAAGAATGAGAGCCCAGCATATAGATCCTCATCCTAATGAAGCAGAAGTGCCACTTTCCCAGCAGAAATCCAGACTTCGGACATGAGCATGGTACCATGTTCTGCAGTACCATTAACAGATCCAAATACCACACTTTCTACTTTTTTTCCACAAGCAACTTCATTTGAAGAGGTAAACAACTCCGGCTGCTTGTGATCATGTGTAACCAGTCACAGTAGTTCAGTACCAAGAATCTGTATTATAGTTCTTACTATTCAAAGACTAAAGAAAAGTATAAATATCTATCAATGACTAAATCATTTTCCTAAAGCAGGTTTCTAAAACTAGACAGAAGTTCTCAAAGAAGTTTTTGTACCAATAAAGAGTCAATTTGTGAATCCACAGAGTTTGGTACTTGCTACTGTAGTAAGCCACAAATCTGAGCAGAAAACTACAGTTTAAATGTTTCATGATTTTGGGTAAGTTCCAAATGTTACATCTTACTTTTTTTTTTTTTGACAAGACATACTTATTACACACACTTCTAGAAGCTCTCATGATGTAGCAATCAAAATCAAGCCAAGCCAAGAGTCATAGAGCATTAGACCCTAGAGGAGCAAAGACAAATTATACTAATACAGATTGAAGTTTATATAGTGCTCAACTGTATTTAAGTGCTTTACAGACTCTAAATAGAAATCAGCACAAAATTAGACAACATTTGTTTTACTGAAGATGGACAAAAAGTGGACGACAGATAAAGGAAAGCCAAACCATCTTTAACACAGCCTTTCATTAAGCAATACAGCAAAGGCTATTTAATGATGTAGACTCTCTAATGATGCATACTATCTAATGATGCATGTTAAGTATGTCAGCAGTCTCCAGTTTGAGGTGGAATTTTAATTTTTTTCATTAAAATGTGAATCATATATCCTGGTTTGATCATCCTAGTTCTCTTTTTCATTAAGTAGGGCTACTTGAATTCATGCTTCACATAAGTATTTGCAGGATTTGGGTCAATTTAGAGCTGAGTTTTACTGTGAATTTAGAAGACTTAGAAATACAACAGGGCTTCTAAATATTGCTGTGATTACAGTCAATGTCACAAGACCTTACAGACCTCATTTTGCAAGCACCTTTCAGATTAACCATTTGCACTTCACACATCAAACACCTGGAGTAATACTGTGGAAAATGAAATAAAAGTTTGGTCTGCTTATACCAGCATAATCATTAAAACTTGTTTTTTTGAGAATTTACAATAGCAAGTACCAGACATTATTTGCATAATTAGTTTATTTTGCTTACTCTACTAAACAAATGTAAGCACTAATGTCTTAGTTCATCTCAGTAGTACTCTGCTCAGCTTTAGAAGCTTGATATGACTTGGTACAAGAGGTCACATGTCGGTGAAAACTGTCCCTCCACATAAATCTTTTCCCACAGATGTTACACTCATATGGTTTTATGCCTGTATGAATTTTCATATGGCCTACAAGATGGTGTTTCATTTTGAATTTCTTACCACAGACACCACAGCCATAAGGTCGAAGACCAAGGTGCATACTCATATGCCGATCTCTCTGACTTTTGTGTGTAAAGCTTTTACCACACTGACAAGGATACAGCTTATCAGCATGTGAGAATCCACTGAGGGACGTTTCTTCTTTAATTCCCGTAGCCATTTCAATGCCTTCACCATAGCCTGCTGCTATCATAAGATCCTGTCTGTGAGCACTTAAATTTCCATCTGCCCTTTCACCAGAAAATTCTTCCATAGAAGAGCCATAGAAATCAACTTGTTCATCATAATTACTTTCATCTGCCTGTTCATCAAATTCTGCTTCCATCTTTTTGTCACCTATATGAAAGTCTTCAACACCTGAAGACTGGATTGAATGATCTGCCTGAATGGCATTCATGGATTCAGAAACTTGGTGTTCATCATAAGGATTATCAACACCTTCACAGTCTTGTTCAAATCTTTCTGGTTTCACATGGATCCACCGCTTGTGAGACATGATGCTGGGTTTGCTATACATAGGTCTGGTATACTGATACTCTGCACTATCGCTAGTTCCTTCTTCACCATCCTGACTTGTCATTCCAGTGCTAAGTCTATCATGTTCAGTTGAAGAATTACTGGGAAGGTACTCATGTTCTGTCAGTTGACATGACAGTTCATCTTTAGAGCTCTCTTCTTCATTTTCGCCATCCCTTAGTTCCTGCACTTTGTGGAATTCCGTCTGTCCTCCAGAGCCAAGTTCAAAGGTTTCAACAAGGCCATTGTAACTACTACTGCTTGGCGACTGATGATCACTGCCATGGTTCATCTTCTGACACAGAACTGTCGGGTTCCCCTCTAGCACTTCAGTGCATTTATCCACTACATGCCACATCTGAAGGAAACTTGCTGCTGTCAAATAACTAACAATTTCTGGAGCGGGCATTACCAGCCGACCTGTATAGGTAGACAGAAGAATGTTTTCAAATACTCTGGGATTCATCACATCAGGCAGGACTATTCGCCTGCTGTTTTTCAGGAGAACCTGATCACAGAAGTAAGGTGAACTAGCTGCAAGAACAGCTTTATGGGCTCTGAAGAGATGGCCCTGAACCACAATGGACACATCACATAATTGTCCTTGCTGGCGCTGCTGGTTTAACTTCTGCAAAATGGTGCTAGAAAAATCTGGAAATTCCACTCGAAAAGAGCTTGACCCAGACTCCATTTCATTACAAATTTAGTGTTGTGCTGCAAGGAAAAAAAAAAATTAAACAAAATCAGAAATTCTGCTTAGTAAGTTATTGATCTTTCAATTTCCTTCTATACCTTTTCTTTTTTATTTAACAAATAACACTTAAGCAGACTCATATGAAAATCAACCCAACATTTTCTGGAACCTATGTCACTGCTGTACTTCTATTTTTCCTGCCCCACCTCATTCCTCTCTTTTCTGAAGGTTGTACTGAGGCCACAAACTGCTATGCCAGCACATTTTGTTGTGTTTCTTCTATCCAAGAGCACTATAGCAGGAGCTACAAACAGCATGTTACCCAGTTGAGATAGATTAAGCATTTCAAGCATGAGTTTAGGATAACAAAAACAGTTATTTGATGAAATTGTAGCAGTAGAGTTCTAACTCCAGGATGTCCCAGAGTTTATAACAGCATATGAAAGATTCTGCACTTCAACTGCCAACAAAATCATCTCATTGATCCCCCGATAAAGACTGACTGTACTCTTACAAAATATTCCACTTTAAATGAAGTTTTCAAAGGCCAACATATTGATTCATACAGTGACAAAGGCAGCACTGATAGAACCCTAGTGAGAATGAGGCTTATGACTCTTCTAGTGATATTTCCCTGTCGTTTTATTAACTGAAAGGTGGAATAGCAACATCTTGTACAGTTGCAGGACTATAATCCAATCTTTTAATTCTGAGCTTTTTCAGATGTTATTATAACATTCCTTAATTTAAGAAAAACCTTACAGAATTTAAAATGTTAATCAGGAAAGTGATACCTCTGCTGTACAGAATTTTTTCTGCATGTACCTTGTATATTTGTGACAACGCAACAATTATATGCTAGAAGCTCAGCTAAGAGCTCACAGATTTTAATGTTTGTATTCCCACATGATCCAGATATCTTATTACAAAGTTAACAGTCTTTTAAGCAGGAATACAATTCTTTAAAATGTCTACTTTAAATTTTAAATTGAATTTGAGATAAATTTGTATGTTGTTATCATTAGAAATAATGACAGAAATTTAAATGCAACTATGAAAGACCAACATTAACTGCCTGAATAAGTTAAACTTGTGCAATTTTTCAATTTGATAATGCATAAATTGAATACAAAGGAATTCCAGAAGAGCCATGGAGTAGCAAGCAGTTTTCCTCTGTTCTGTTTGCTCAAGTTCTGTTTCTCTTAAGTGGGAAAGTGTCAAAGTTTTAACAGATGGGGCTGCACATCTGAGAGAATACTTAGTAAATTAGCAGACAGCATATACATGCAGAATTTAAAGCACTTTGTTAATACGGTGCAAAAATAGAATTTGCATTACAAACAGTTGGAGGACTCTGAAATTGAAGTACTTCTATGGAAATACAGAATCGAGAGAATGATTATGAATCCCTGCTACAGAGAGCCTGTACAATAACCATAGTACTTTCTATACAGTTATGTAACCGTCAATAGAAAACTGTTCATTTGGTGCACTGTTAAAACGCTGGCACATCGGCACAAACGTATGACTGCTAAGTGCAGAAAAAGCAGCAGCATTTGCTTACAAAATGCAGGCTACACAGGAGTGGTTATGTAAATCACTCAATGTTTAATCAACAGCTCCTGGTTACATAATCCCTTCCTTACCATTTTGATCTGTTTTCCAACTCATTCTTGACAACTCTCCCCCACTCCCCAAAAAACTCAGTGTTCCACCTCCAAAGTTTCAGAGCTAGAAAAGGATGACAAGCATATAGAGCATAGGTGAACACAGATTATTCACTGTTATCTTACATAAAGGTGACTAGGATTTCCATAGAGAAGAGAGCATGAGAATCAGAAAGCCATCAAGACTTTTCAATAAATACAGGCCCAAACTCCTTGCAAACATTAAAAGCAGCATCTTCTGCAGAACTGTGAAGATTATGCTTTTAAATTTCCTTTTAGTTTTTCACTAGAAGCACGGTATCAATCTGACTCTCTTATGAAGGTCTCTGAAGAAAACAGACTGGGAAGAATAACCTGTTATTTATGAAACCCATTTGTAACTATAAATAATCGCAGCAACATAGTCAAAAGAAAAAAGGTACCTTTTTTGACCACAGTTTCCTTCTTTCTTCAAATCTTACACTAATTTCCAATGCTGGGTAGTGGGAGGAACTGAAAGGACTGAATAAAGCTCCCATTGGAGGACAGTTAAATGACTAAAAATTTTGTAGTTGAGCACCATAACTTGCTGTATACAGTCACATTCACTTTTACATTTTCATAAATCGTTACTGTTTTACTGGTTGAAACAACTGTTTATCTTAAGAGGTGTTTACCAACTACACTGGGATCCTCAGATTTAAGATGAGAATCTGTCAATTTTTTTTTTTTTTTTAAACACTTGGTGGCACAAAGCAGTTGTCCTACAAATACTGCCTCACATAAATCATGGGTAAGCAGTTACATTCTGTGGAGACAGTAACCAAGACTGTGGAAACAGCCTAAAACTTGCAAATCTAGCACACCACTACTTTCAAGTGCTTTGACTAACAGTGTTATGAAAGAGGAAAGCTCTTTGCATCACAAAGCATTACTCCCCAGAGAGTCCTCACCTTCAGCCCCACACAGCTTGCTTTAAGTATCTGACAGGCTAAAAACAATTATGCATATCCTTGAACAAGCTTCTTGAGATGTATTCCCAAAAGTATATGGAAATTTTCACATGAAAGTGCAAAACAGAAAACAGCACCATTTCCCCACCCTTCAAGTGAAATAAAAAGTCTAGGGACAGTAATCAACTCACCAGAAGTGAATCACCACAAACTGTCATACCTCAAGTGTAAGTGTGGAATTTGGATCAAATACTACTACATTTATAACCTAGCTGCCATATAACCACTTTTAGCTAGTCCAAGAACAATCTGTATGATTGTCAATATAAACTGTTCAGTAGTCTGAATGGTTCTTAATTTAGTAAATCCAGTGGAATATTAGAAACAGCAGATTTTTAAATTACTTCCTTGGAAAAGGAATCTCTGAAAAGCCTGCAGTTCAGCTGATCTTCTTCAAGTTGCCACCTACATAACAGCAGAAGACCGCCTTTAAATTTACACTCTTCAGTACTCCTCAGTTTTTTTCCTCAAAGCATCAGTCCTGCTACGTACCCATACAACCAATCCACGTCAGGAGACCAAACCAGCTACTGATGTTTTTCCAGAGAGTAACAGAATACTACGCCTGCCAGTTCACTCATTATTTTTTCTTTCCACTTTGCTTAAAACAACTTGACGTTATTTAAGTATTTCAAACAGTTATCATATACCTAGCATGCATTATAAAATATCTACTTTTTTAAACAATCAAGATTTTTTTTATGCTCCTTTCAGAATATTCTCAGATTTAAGACTCTCTTTTTCGATACTTGCCCACAAAAAGATAAGCCTTCAGGATACGTTCAGCTGAAATTTAAAGAGACACATCCGTAGACCTTATATAATTACTGCTAGTCTAAACCTGCCATCTTTCAGCAAGGACTTGCCATGCCACCACAGAAACAATTCCAGGTGGGAGCACACTTTTATGTATTTTAAGTTCTCATGAAAACCAAAGCCATCAAAACATAGGTAAAGTATTTTCTGTTAGCAAAGCCATACATGTCAAGAAAACTTTGTTTCTCCAGGAAGGTTTCACTTCCTCCATTTACAGTACGTTCTGTTTCTGCATTTTCTTTATCCCAACTCATAACGAACAAAGTCTTCCTATTTTAATTAATTAAAAAAAAAATCGGTCTCCATGCTGCAACACTGAGCAAAACAGACAAG